GAGGGTTTGTAAATGTCACAATGACAAAAGTTTTATTCTGGGGTATCAACACTATATGAAACACCAGATTTGATTTCTATAGAATGAGCCTTCTGGGGTCTTGCCATGTACGTTTTATTTTTGTCTGGAGGTAAGTGCTAGTTACTCTCCATTCTAGACGTAAGAGGGAGGTGACTGGTGCAGCTGCACAGACTTTCTATGGAGAGTATAGTTTCTAGACCCACTCCTCCTGTCTGTCATCAGTACCTGCCAACCATGAACTCAGAGCCTCTCTGTGGTTTTGCCGGGAAGACTGGCTCTCATTTCCATGCCTGAGTTCTGGGCCATGGCTTCCTCCCACTCTGCTGAGCCATCAGTGTGTGTCATCTACTTTTAGAAACTGTTGGAGGTCTGCACCTGCCACTCCTCTTCCCTGCCATTCTCTTTGCTGTTATGTGTTTCTAGTCCTCTTCAGTTATCTTAGCCAGGTCTCAGAAGGAAGGAGAAACAATCACTTGAGCTCAGACCAGAGTCTTGAACCTTTAATATGCTTACCTACTTTGTGAATCTCCAAGGGTATTTGTTGGTTTATTTTTGCAACTACTTTATGGGTTAGGCATATGCTGTTAAATGGTGAGGCCTTTGTTCTGCTGAGCTCCTTGATGTGTTTGTGTACACAGATTGGCATCAGGGGCTGAGAAAAGCCAAACAGCTTTTTATTATGGAGTAAAACAATCTGCAGTTTCCAGAGCAGTTGGGAGAGAGAGGATAAGGACAGCGATGGGAGGAAAGAGGAGAGGAAGCTAGTGACATGCCATGATGGGAACCCCTCCCCAAGACTGCCAATCTCTCAAAGGGATTCTAAACTTACAGAATGCTTGTTGTGGTGGAATTTCCTGGGGAAGCCAGTGAAGATGCTCAGTTCTGTGACAGGGGCTGATGGGGACAAAATAGAGACTTGCACAGACCATAGGAACCTCAGGCAAGAGGCCGTGAGAGCATGAGTTCCAGGAATCTGCAGGAATTGGGTGGAGGGTTTGGACTTTCCATCCTGTGGAATTGGCAAGACTCTGAGGTAATCGTACAGAATTCTCTGTGGGTCAGGAGTGCCCCCAACTGGCACCTGGCATGTTTCCGACGTACCTGACCCCTTTAGTTCACCCTCCACACTAGCTTGAATGATCACACCGTTCGCCTGCTTGAAAATCCCGTTGTCTACAGCCCACAACTTTTTATCCTGGCATCCAACAGCCTTCACCATCTAGTCCCTCCCTTACCATCATCTCCTCCTCACACAGGCCGCTCTGATTACGTTAAACATTTCACTGTTCCTTAAAACACTGCCATTTCCCTTCCATCTGAAATAACCTTCCTCTTCTTTGCCTGAGTAAACATCTATTCATTCTTTAAGACCAGACTCAATCATTGTCTCACCTTTTCCTTCCCTCCAAAGAGCTAGCCATTCCCACCTGTGTTCCCCCAATACCTTGTTCTGAGCAGAGTTTCTCTTCCTCTGAGTTCCCTGCAGGAAGGACTGTCTTATTCAATTTTGGACTCCAATGTCCAGTTCAGGCCAGCGTAAGGCCCTCCCCTGTGCTCCTACTGCACCCTGGGTACAACCATAATGACCCATATCATCCTGCACTGTAACTCTAGGTTTTTGTGCCCATCTCCTGCACTCAGAGAATGAAGGAGAAAATTAGGGAAGTTAACAAAAAAGGAAGTCACAGAGTGAATAAATGGACTAGTCGGGATTCAAAAGTCTGGGCCAGTGCAGAAACCATAACCTATGCACTTGGTCAAAAAGGGGCAAATGAGATTGGCAAGTCATGTCCCAACATCAAAGCAAGTGCCTCGAGCACTGGTCCTGGGTTTTACTGGCAGCAGAGATTCCCAGAAAGTCACAGCAACTGTTACTAAGGCTCTATGTTAAGTCTGGAAGGATACCAAGCTCCCCAGACAGGGGACCAGTAGACCTAGCTTGGTAGTGAGTATAATGAAGAGCTTGGCCTTGGAATCATAAATACCTGATTTGAATCCCAGCATAGCCATTAAGTCAGGTCATTTAACATCTCAGAATTTTCTCATCTTAAAAATAGGGAGAGGTGCCTGGGTGGCTCAGTGGGTTAAGCATCCTACTCTTAATTTCGGCTGTCATGATCTCATGGCTGTGGGCTCGAGCCTCATGTTGGGCTCCACACTGAGTGAGGACCCTGCTTAAGATTCTCTCTCTCCTTCCCCCTGCTCATGAGCTCTCTCTCTAAATTAAAAAAATAATAACAGTAAGTTAAATAAATAAAAATGTTTTTAAAAAATAGGGATACTACTACCTTACAGGATAGTTGTGGAGATCAGAGGTAACAGGTGCCCAAGAACGGGTGCTCGGTGGTGTTTGATGGCAACTTTAATTACTAGGGAGTGTGCCAATTCATACATACAAGTTTGGGTGACTATATGTTTAAAATATTTTGTACGCAGATTTTGAAGAAGCAGAAAGATGTATATGAAATAAAAGTGCTTTGTCAAATATAAACACATTATTCCAAAGGGATACATGCCCCTCTATGTTTATAGCAGCACTGTTTGCAATAGCCAAGATATGGAAGCAGCACAAGTGTGTATCAGCTGATGAGTGGATAAAGAAGGTGTGGTATATACAGTGGAATATTATTCAGCCATGAAAAAGAATGAAATCTTGGGGCGCCTGGGTGGCTCAGTCAGTTGGGCGTCACGACTTCGGCTCAGGTCATGATCTCGCGGTTTGTGAGTTCAAGCTCCACATTGGGCTGTGCTGTCAGCACAGAGCTTGTTTCAGATCCTCTGCCCCGTCTCTGCCTTGCCCCTGCTTGTGCTCTCTCAAAATTAAATAAAAAACATTAAAAAAATAAAATAAAATCTTGCCATCTGCAATGACATGCATGAAGCCAGAGAGTATAATTCTAAGTGAAATAAATCAGAGAAAGACAAATACCGTATGATCTCACTCATATGTGAAATTCAAGAAATTGAAAACAAACAAGCAAAAGGAAAAAAGAGAGAGAGACAAACCAAGAAACAGATTGTTAACTGTAGAGAACAAACTGAAGGTCACACAAGGGGAGGTGCGTGGGAGGATGGGTGAAACAAGTGATGAGGATTAAGGAGTGTCCTTGTCGTGACGAGCACCAGGTGATTAAAATAAAAACTTTTTAAAAAGTACTTTGGAAACTGTAGTGTCCTACAAATGTCAGGGAATCATTTGGAAAGTCTTCTTTTATAGTTGGAATACAGGCTTTGGGTTTAGGCAGAAGTAGGTGGAGTCCTGCCCCTGCGATTTACTTGCCATGTGATCTTGGGCAAGTCACTTTCTGGCAGCCTGTTTCTCCTTCTGTCAAATGTGGGTACTTCTTACTTCCCAGGGTTACGTGAGAATTCAACATAATGAGTACAAAGCTGCTAGCACATCCGTCTCTGGCTGGGTGGCAGGATCCCATGTGATAGGTCAGGTCACAGACGGTGCCAGTTTTAAGCCTGGTACCAGAATCACATTCTGGCAATTGGCTACAAATGAAGAGGGCCTCTCAGTCTGGAAGAGCAGGACCTGATCGGCAAGAGATGTAGAGAAGGGTCTTCTTTATGTGTTGGAGGAAATCTGGGTGAATGTTCAACTGCCGTCAGAAAACATGGAAATCTGGCATGTGGAGCCAGGCCGAAACCAGGAGGGCAGGAAGCTGGGCAGGATCCCCACCAAGCTGTCCCAGCCTTGGGAACTAAACCATTGCTACAAAAGGCAAAGACCCTCATCATGGGTTCATCCCAGCCCTCACCCCTACTCCCCAACACTTATCACTTTTCCTAGACACAAATAAATGTCAATCAAGAATCTAAGGGAGGAAAGGTTCTCATACTTGGCACTGACTTCCCACAGAGCAAATGAACCAGGGCCACACCAGAAGGCCCCACTAGCTCCCATTTCCAGGGACTCACTTGGTCCCAGGCCGGCCCCCTAAGTGGATCCTCCTTCAGAAGCCAGTAGGTGCATGTAATGAAAAGAGCGTCAGTTCAGAATCAAGGGAGGCCCAAGTGTGAACTCTGGCTCCACCACATACCTGCTGTGTAACTTCACAGCAATTGACTTCACTTCTCCTCACTTGTTTCCTCATCTTATTCCCTTGAGCAAATGTCAATGACACAAAGATGTAATGTGACCTATAGAATCTACAGCATATGTGGGTTCCTCCTGCCTTCCTGCTCAAAGGCCCCAGAGACTCAGCCTGCTTTCCTCTGCTTTTCAGAGCAGCCACCCATTCTGTCTTTCCTGGAATTCAACCCCCTTCCAGAGAGACTGCAGCATGGCCGCCTCCCCAGCTCCCACTTCCTTGATGCCCCAAATAAGTACACAGGTCCTTTTCATTGAAGAGTTTTACTGCTAATCACTCCGGGAACAGATGGAGGTGGGGTGGGGGGAACAAGTCACAAACATGGGGGACTGTGAAGGTCCCTAGATCAAGGCTCCCTGAGGGCTTCCCTTTCATGCCTAAGGCAGGGCCAGACCTCTTCTCCAGGCCAAGGAGGCCCCTTCCATTGGGAAGGCTGCTCCCCCCAACACAGGTGGGGCCCAGCAGATGGGAACTGGCAGCCACTGCAATGTGCCCCGAGCATTTCATACACAATTCCAAGGACCTTCAGACAGTGATGCCACCTCACAGGGACTTCCTCAAAGGCCAGGGGATGATTGCCCTAATGATACGAGCATGTGCCAAGCCTATCCTACTTCTCTTTCATCCCAAGGAGATGAAGCCAAGACTGGATCCTCCCACTTTCCAAGGCAAGAAATTGGCCTGGAAAGGGGCAGGGATTTTTACTCAAGGGTCCCTTCTCAGGACTTCCTGGAGATCCTGGCTTCAGAGGCAACAGGAAACCATTCTCCAAAGTGGGAGGAGGGGCTTGAGGTCAAGGGGGCAGCAGCAGATCCTACAGATCTTCCTACACTACGCTGGGGTCTGTCTCTCTCTCTCTCTCTCTTTCTCCCTCATTGTTCTTCAGCTGGTGTCTTTCCCAGCCTGCTCTCCCATGTGCGTTTTCTGGTGGCGGATAAGGTTGGAGCTCCGGGAGAAGTGTTTCCCACACAGAGTGCACCAGTAGGGCTTCTCCCCTCTGTGGGTCCTCTGGTGTGCTCCAAAGTTGGAGATGTCGCTGAAGGTCCGCCCACACTCGGTGCACTCATAGGGCCTCTCGCCCGTGTGCGTGCGGTGGTGCACGCCGAAGCTGGAGCTGTTGCTGAAGCTCTTGCCACACTCACAGCAGATGTAGGGCGCTGGCTCCAGGTGCGTCCGGTGATGCACCGCCAGCGTGGCACTCTGGCTGAAGCTCTTGCCACAGAGGTCACAGCGGTACGGCCGCTTGCCCAGGTGATCTTGTTGGTGCGTGGTAAGGTCTGAGCGTCGCCGAAAGCTCTCCTGACACTTGGGACATTTGTAGTGCTTCTCTTCCAGGTGGATCCGCTCGTGCCTGATGCGATTGGAGCTTCTCGAGAAGCTCTTGCCACATTCAGAACACTTGTAAGGTTTCTCGCCGGTGTGGATCCGCTGGTGTGTTCTCAGGTTGGAGGTATTATTGAAGGTTTTGCCACACTGGGCACATATAAAGGGCTTCTCGTCGATCTCGGGCCTTGGGTGAGCCATGGGGCCCCCGGGCTCTCTGGCGGGGTCGGTGACTTTCTGCAACGGTTTTTTTGGGTGGATCTCTTGTGGACCTTCTGACAGGCTCTCTTGCTCATGCTCCTTCTCTCCATCTGGGATCCGAAAACCCTCCGAGTCCTCCACTCTCCAAGGCTTACCCCATTCCCCTTCCTCAGGCAGGTGCTGTTCTGGATTCTGCTCCTTCTCCTTCTCACTGCCCATTTCTGAACCCTGAGAATGAACACAAATGGCCAACACCTTTATTCCTTGGTGTTGGGTCAGGCTAGACCACAGGGAATCTTGTTCTAGTAAAGGGGTGTACACCTTCCCCAGGGAACCATCCATTAGAAATAACCTCAATTAACTGGAATACTTGGATGCAATGCCTTTACTTACTAACTTTCAAGTTACAAACTTCCACAGATGTTTAAAGCTGCCCATCAGAGTAAAGAGGCATCAGCTTTGTCTATGCCCAACAGATACCTGTGCAACGCGAATGTCACTTTTCTCAATATCATTGAAAAATGACAGTCTAGACTATAATTCATGTACAAATAAAGGAGCTCCCATTTGGGTAAAATTCCATTTTCCTGCCTAACTCTAAGCTAACTAAAACTACTTTTATGGTGATCTCTTTTGAAAACACTTCCTGAAAAGTTTCCATTTCCCTGCTTTCAGAATGAACAGAATAAAACCTCTCATTCTTGAGGCTCTCCTAACTGTGTACAAGGCCCAGCATGATTCCTCTTAAACATTCCGCCACCCTTCCCCTCCCCGGAATTCACCCTAACCTAGCAACTAACGGTTAACGTCTGGGCCCTCCAAGACCTACTGCAGGGTCTGGGCCGTGTGCTCTGATTGGTCAATGCCCACTTCCTCTCTCCAACACCATATACAACCACATACACAGGCCACATACACACACAGCCATACTCACATACCAGACACACTCAACCACATTCTCACACCATATACACATACCACACACAGCCACATACACAGACATGCATACCACATATAGCCACATACAGCCACACACATCCCATGTACATACATAGCCCTCCCAAGCATGTAGCCACATACATGGCTACACAATCACAAATACAGCTCTACTGTCACACCACACAAAATCACACACACTCACATGCTATGTACAAAGACACACCGACACTGGGGTGCCTGGGTGGCACAGTCTGTCAAGCGTCTTGATCTCAGCTCAGGTCATGATCTCACAGTTCGTGAGTTCAAGCCCCACATCAGGTTCAACGCTGATGGTGCAGAGCCTGCTTGGGATTCTGTTTCTCCTTCTCTTTGCTCCTCCCCCGCTTGTGCTCTCTCTGTCTCTCTCAAAATAAATAAATAAACTTTGAAAATAATAAAAATTTTTAAAAGTTAAAACAAAACAAAACTAAACAAAAAAACAAGACAAACAGACACAAACCACATTCCTCACACACACACAGCGCCAACTTATGCAAACATCGGTAAATGCATGCTCAGCTGAGCAGACTCCTCTGCATTCCTATAGCCCAGAACAGGGGACGAGGGATGAAGTACTTCTGCTGGGCGTGGGGTTTCCTCTGGGCCCCAAAGCAATAGCAGCACTTCAGAAGGTGCAGTGGGCCGGCGGAGATACTGCGGGCGGACACGAGCAAGGGATGAGGGTGGGAGCGAGACTGAAAGGACAGCGATGGTAGAAAATGACAGACCGAGGATTCCTTCAAGTCAGCAAGTACTTCTGGAACACACAACAGCCGTAATGGAAGGGGCGCTGACTGTATTTAGGGTCGTATCCCGATGGTGGCACACAGTACAGAACTGGGCAAATCACTCGAGCACCGGGAGCCTCAACTCCCACATCACTAACCCTGTGACACCCGCCTATCCTGCATGGCTACGGCGTGCTCAGCATGCTGTGTGGCAGCAAATGACAGCTACCGTTACCACGGTTGAGGACAATGGGTTCCAGAGACAGGCCCGGCCTTTACTCAACCCATTCAACAAATAGATCTTAAGGACCTACTAGATAGGACTGCTGCTACTTTAGGAATTTGGGTTACATTAGAAGAACAAAGACCTTGTCCCTCATGGGACTTAGGAGGACACCGTGTCCTGGCCCTGCAGAGAACACAAGAATGAAAAAGATCCCTTATGTGATCTTGTTAGGAAAGAAAAAAAAAATGTTTCTAATTAAAAAAATGGTACACGACTATACATTCTAAAATGTACAATATGGACAGAGCCTCAAATCTTTGAGTGGAGGCCAGCAAATTTTTCTGGAAGGGGCCAGACAGTAAATATTTGGGGCCATAGGATCTCTGTGGCAACTACTCAACTCTGCTGTTGTATCGTAAAAGCAGCCACAGACAATACAAAAATGAATGAGTGTGGCTGTGTTCCAATAAAACTTTAAGACAAAAGGAGCTGAACTATAGTTTCCCAGTCCTTGTTTGAGAGTGTTTCTTGGAGAATCTAGATAAGGGAGGTGAAGGAGGCTTGCTTCGCTTTCAAAAATGCAAGTAAACATCAAAAACAATTTATTCCTTGACACTTATTTAGTTTTGACAATCCTTTTAAAAATTACAACCCCGTTCCCACATTCCCATCCCCCTACCCCACAGAACTTCTCACCTGCGAACATTCTATTTATTTATTATGTCAATTATTTAGTGTCTGCCTCCCCTTGCTAAAACAGAAGTCCTATGAGGGATGGGGTCTTTGTTCCTAAAGCACTGACAGTCATATCTAGTAGGTCCTTAATAAATATTTGTTGAAAGAGTTGAGTAAAGGCCAGGCCTGTCTCCAGAACCCATTTCAGGCTCGCTTGTGTCTGTTTCTGTTCCTCAGGAATCTCTTGATTCCTGCCCACTTCCACCTTTATGCAAACACAGACTCCTGTTTGTCTGTACTTGCTTTTACAGTGATTTGCAATTATCTTTTAACATTATCTGGCTTCACTAGAAATTTATAAGTCATTGGAAAGGAGGGACTAGGTCACTTTGGAAATCTCTCTTCAGCACAAGGCAGTGCTCAAATGTTTTTTGAATGTATGAGTGAAAGGATGTGATCTGAATTCAAGCCCCAGCCCTGCCCACCCCACCTAGGGCTCTAGTACCTCTGTCTATGCAGGAGGCGACATGGCCCCCTCTCACTTCCAATCCTGCTCTTCTGAGCACCTATAATGTACCAAGCTCTGACTCGCCTCAGGACTGAATGCTGGATCAAAAGAAGAGCAAAAAGATTTAGGATTATGGTCACTACCCTCAGTTTATGGCACAGTTCAGGGAAACAGGCCATGAACTCCAGAAACTGTCATATGGTATAGAAGGTTAAGTTCTAAGGGGACAGGAACTGTGCCTCAGTCACCTTTGTACCGTTCCTCAATGCCTCGCACAGCACCTGGCACATTATACAGGAACCGATAATAGAAGTCCACATTTTTCTAAGCTGATACTAAATGCTAGGCCCTGGGCTGAACACTATATACAAATCATGGCATTTCATTTACACAACTTATTTTAGAGATGAGGAAACTGAGGCTCAGAGAAAGTATAACTTGCCCAAGGGCACACAGCAAGTGAGTAGCAAAACTGGGACTTATGCCCATCACTCCAAAGCCAGTGCTTTTAAGCCTGACACTAGTATTGGAGAGAAATGAGGGAGAGTGGGAGGTGGGCAGGGAAGGGAAGGAGGAAGGAGTAAGAACAGTGCCACAGGAGTTCGGGAGTTCAGGTGACACCCGCATGGCTCCCTGAAGAGATCAAGGACGAGCTGCTAAATGGAAAAGGAGGCATCTGAGCTAGGACTTACAGGATAGGTGAGCAAGATTGGGACTTACAGAGAGATGGGGAGACCACCATCTACTAAGAACACAGTGACAAGTAAGGTACAGATACACTTTCAGGTCACATTTCAAAGATTTGGGGGAGAGAAGGGCCCATCAGTCTTGGCTTCCCAGGAGGCCCAGGGGTACAGGGAGGATCTGAGGTGGGAGACACTGGGGGCAGTGGTGAAGCGACCAGGACTAAGAAATAAGAGCCAAGCAGATGGGGCTGGTGATCACAGATGCTGAAGGTCAAGGGCTTGGGTTAGAGGGAAGGGGCTAAGCTGGAAAGTGGTCTGAAGGGTCAAAGTTCGGGGTCTTTAGAGTCAAGTCAAGGGGTAGGGGGTGGGAGGTAATGGGGAGAGAAGAGCTTGGAAAGACCAGGGACAAGGTGTTGAACAACAGGGAAATGTATCGGGGAGCTGCATAACGGGTCAGTTAGAGGAGGCCATAGGGGTCCGAGGGTCCGAGGAGATGACCTGGGGAGAGGAGGCACAGGCTGCAATCAGAGGTGTCAGGGGGCGGGAGCCAGGAGGCTGGGTTGTAAGTAGCGGGGAGAAGCCGATGGCGGAGTCGAGGATACGCGCCTCCCAGAGGACAGGAGCTGGGTTCTGAGTAGCGGACTGGCTTGGGCGAGAGGCTAGGGAGATGGGGAGGGGCTGGCCCCAAAAGTATGGCCAGTGCCAGGGGGGGCTGGACTGAAAGGCCAACAGGAGGGCCTGAAATAAGGGCTGAGGCCAGCCGCCTGGCCGCGCGGGCCAGGGGCGGGGGCCAGGGGTCGGGGAGGGGGGGACCACCGGGTCCCATTTGCTCCCCACTGGGTCCAGGGAGCAAAGCCACAGCCTCTAATTCCCGGGAGAGAGGGAAGGGGCCATGCTCAGAGTTTCCCACAAAGCCGTATCCGCCTCCCCCGCGACCTCGGGCCCACCCAGGACCCACCTCGCTCCCGCCGCTCGATCAGGGACAGCGCTGCCTCTGTCGGCCGGGGGAGGAGCCGGAGCCGGAACACAGAGAGGACCCGCCCTACACCTCCAGGATTGGGTCCTGAGGAGGATCCTTCATTCCCACTGGCTGTATTGGCTGCCACAAGGCAAGAAACCCAGGCGGGGTCGCCAATAAGCTTTGGTCTCAAACAAAGCCTGCTGGGAGTTGTAGTCCTGAGGAAGAGCGTAGACTCCGAGAAGAAATTTGCGAAGTTTAGAACTGAGCAAGTGCAGACCGTGTTCCCTTCCAAGGTCGTCGGATCTCCTTCTACGCTCACACGAGAAAAACCCAACGTAGTTTTAACCACGCGTCTGGGAAGTAATTGAAAACCTAGAGCTAACCTACATGACCTCCACGTGTCATGAACTCAGTTTTTTCTTTACTTTGAATTGGTGACCCTTGGTCCTGTAGACATCCG